ATAACATGACAAATTACGTTAAGACATCCATTGGAAAAACCAAACACAAGTAAATTTATTGTTAAGTATGGTCAGTAAATTTGTATTTTTATTTTGACCCAATGGAAGTTCTAACAAAGCGAGTCAACGAGTTTGAAAATATTTTAGCTGGAACGACATCATTAAAAAAACCATCGAAAAATTAAGCGATAGAGAGATCCAAAACAATCATTTTTCTAAAGAGATTCAAGACCAAATTGTGCTTTCCCAAAATTGGCGTTCTTTAATTGACAACTATAACGCGTAGGTTTTGGATGTGAAACTCTGATCTCTACGTAATTTGACACCTGAGTTTACAAAACGCCCCTTTACGAGTTTAAACAGCTAAGAGCCGAATCGGTCCTTTATGAAAAGTGAACAAAGCAAGTAAGAGAGCATCAAAGGACTAGCGGTGGAAGATTTTGATTCAAGAATTTGCCCTTACGAGTAAATTTCGGTAGGTATCCAGTGTGATCCATTAAGGTGCAACAATCCAAAATGTTGTTGTTCGTTGTATCATCATTCCGAAGAATATAACAAGTTACTAAGGAAGTTGTTCTTGAGAAAACCTTATACAGGGTGTTCCTAAATATTTAATGATTACGTAAATGCGAAAATTGAATTTTTATTTTTTATTTTTTTTCTCTATAACGGTCACAGATGGAACATGACCCAATGATGTAAGTCCTTCAATGTAACATAAATCTGAAATTTGAGCGAAATATCTCAAAAATTGCAAAAGAAAATACTTAAAAAATCTTGAAATTTTAACACCCTGTAGATCGGTAACGAACCCGTTTGTAGACCAATGACCTAGTCATAAAATAAGTAAAAGTATAAGACTTTCCGTATTTACATCATAATTAGGAACACCCTGTATTTTTTGGTCTGATGGTAGTTATTTAATGGACCACACCGTAAAGATAAGTTTAAGTGCAGGTTACAATACGAAATACCCTAAAAAATACGGGTTACTCGACTTACAATTTATTTCGAGTTATAATCCAAAATTTTAACCCCTGACTTCTCAAATCAGCTTGAAATTGCTGACTCCTTTCGTAATCAATTTGATTTTTTGGAATCAAATAGTTCGATCAGTCTGAGCCTTCAAACAAAAACCAGGTTTTCAACCTTGGGGGAAGACCGATCGCGCCGGTATATTGGATGAAAGGTACAGAAAATCGGTTTTATGCCGGGTGATGGTTTCTCTGTCATTAAGAGTGGAACAAGACAAATTTCTGTTCAACAGTAACCAGCAGTTTGTTCCATTTTTTTTGTCAGCTTCGAAATTAGATGGGATTTATTGTGATGTGGAGAAAACATTAAAAATAAGTGTAATTTGTTCTCACGAAATTTACCGTCGAAATAATGTTCGAATTTCTACCCCCACAACTCGGAAAATATTAGAATTACAAAAATGAAAAGAACCGATACGGAGTAGTTATTTTGATAAAACCGATTTTCTGTACCTATCCAATATGCCGGCGCGATCGGTCTTCCCCCACGGTCGAAAACATGGTTTTTTTCAAGACCCAGACCTCAACAACATATTAAAAAATTACTAAATAGTACTAGAGGCTTTTCCGTCAGGCGGCATTTTAACCAAGAAATATGCGTGATTCGAGGTGATTCGAGGGCCCTTTTTTTGGATATAAGTATACGCTAAATGTTACAATCCGTCCCCGTAGAAAATTTCCACTTAAGCAGCATTCAATCACTTTGATACCATTGAAAATCGATCCACACTTAAAGAAGCGTTTAGTAGTACGCAATCTTTACGTCATTTGAATAATTTGGAGCAATACGTTTATTTCCCCTGTCTTATCAGGAATTACAGATGAAATTTTTATTTCAAATCAAAGTAAATGTTATGTTTATTTTGGTCTTCTCTATCGTTCACTTTTTTCTATACCCGTACTAAGTGACATGCAACATTGCAACCTAGGATGCAACTGCAACATTTTTTTAACAAACTTGGCCACTCAAATGTATTAATTGATTAAAATTTCAAAATGAGAATCAAAGGATCAATGAAAATTTTTTAAAAATTTCATAGTGGGTCACACTATGGTTGTTTGATTGTAAGAGGTGATTGAATTCGTCTATCCTAAAGTAACCTGCGACCAGGACCAGGAGTTGTACCAGCGTCTGTGGAGGATTCGTTAAGTTCCGTAGCATTTTACCAATCATCTCCCACACATGGGCGGAAAATATGTTCGAAGAGCTACAGGACGAATTCTAATTCTTTGGTTAAACAAAATCAATGGATACACCCTTACCAATTATTGCATTAGAATGAAATTTTAATAAATTACTATCTTTGAGCAGTAAAACGTCTCGACCACGTTTACTCAGATAATTACCCCTTCTCGATGTGGTTCAAATTCGTGGCTCACTATTGGGATCTCTGTAATGGTGTGAGATACAATGTAGGTTAATTCTCTGTGTGACTAAATTGAAATTTTTGAAAAATCTTTGAAAATAATTGAGATATCACCGAAGAAGTTTTGGTTTTTATTTTTTCTAGCATAAACTGTCGGAAATGGACGGTTTCTGTTAGCACCTTCTATGGGCACTTTTTTCGGAGTATCTGAATTTGTAATCAGAATTTCCATAGCATGCTAGATGTAGAAGCTTAGCGATGAATTCAAATGAATTTAATTTTTGTCCTCTCTGATTCTGTACCTATCCAATATGGCGTCCATAAGAAATAAGAACGTAGTAGCCTATAGCTTCTGCATCTAGCGTGTTATGGAAATTCTAATAAAAGATACCATATTTTAAAGATTTATCAAAAATTTTAAATGCGTTTTTTTAGTCATAATCTTTACGAAGATCCCAATGGTGAGCCACAAATTTGAACCACCCTGTACTGTGCAGGATGGGCCATTAGTACGTGGGTGGAATGATTGTGGGTTTATTAACGCACATATTTAAAATTCACTGTAGGAACATGTTGAAGGCTACAACATAAAAATATGGTGAACGAAATTGCAATTGTTATACAGGGTGATTTATAGTAAAATTGTATTTTTTTAATAATAAAAATATCCTAAAGCATTTACCCGAAACAAAACAAAAACTCAAAAATCTCAAAAGCCAAAAATAAAAACTTTAAATAAAAATAAAAGAACCAAGCATTTGTCGATGCGTTTGTGTTATGGATGTGAAAGCATTACCAATCCGCATTTTCATATTCTCTTTTGTTCTGGGACTTCTTTGTATACAATTTCTTCCTACGTATCCCCACAAGAAGAAGTCTAGTGGTGTAAGGAGAGCAAAAAGCTGAGTAGTTAAAAATGCATAACAAAGAGCGCCGTTTTCAATTATTTTTTTCAAATTCTATTTCTCACAAACTTAACTAATCAACAATCAAGAGAATTATAAATGTCAAAGGACTAAAGTGACACTGTTATTTCACTCTATTTTGTATTAATATTTTACAACATGGCTTTTCATGGCTTACTATTCAAATTGATGTATGTAAGTCATTGGTTTAAATGCAAAATTCATTTATTCTATTTTTTAAAATGAAAAACATGAAAGTTATTGTTTTGTTTGGGGTAAATGTTTTATAGTTTCAATTGGTGTTTATAATTTTTAACGACCTAACAGGCTTTGAAAACCACAAAAATACTGTGAATTATTAGAAATTGTTGAATGAAAGTAAAAGGTAAATGACGACATGCTTACCATTAGAAAGGTAATCAAATCCTACATTTGATGCAATAAAAACACTCTTGCAATTTAGTTGAAAATATTATTAAGTTGCCTTAAGTAAGAGTCCTTCAACATTCCCCGACAATGAATTTTAAATATATCCGTTATACCTATATACCTTCCATCCACACACTAATCGCTCACCCTGTATACTACACAAATACTTAACTTAGCTCCTATAGGACAGTATCACACAATATGCGTATGTGCTTATATCCAAAACTCTCCTTGGTAGACGGAATTTATTTCCAGCTCCAAACAACAGCAAAAGAAAAAATAAGTTGCCCCTAAGCTATATTTTCACCTTGTTTACGAGGGTTACCTTTTAAGAAGGGACACCTGGGGAAGAAAAAAACAACAAATTCTTTTATTGGTTTACAACATATTCATCGTTGAAAGTAGCTAAAAGAATGTTTCCTCTCGTCGCGTTCGAGTTGATTCATCGTCTTCTACAGAGTCTTCAGACCATGCAATCCACGCATTTTGATTCGGCACGGGGAAAGGAAGTCATTAGGGGGTATCGAGCGCATGCGAGCAATTTGACAATTCTGACTGCAGAAACGAGCGATGATTGTCCTGGAAGTGCTTCACGAACGAACGTCTTGGAATCACCGCACAATGGGGACTGTTGCTTCGTTTTCGATTCATGGGAGTATACCAAAGTTGCTTTTGAAATCACAGCAGTCTTTGGTCGACCTTCTCGATCGGGCTTCATTACAAACGATGCCAGACATTGCTGTTGAGTTAGACCTTTACGAAAATCGCAAAGATCATCCCGTGAACGCATTCACGAGTAATATAAATAAAAGGCAACCCTCGTAACTATAATGAGTGACTAAAAGCTTGTATCTAGATTAGACATCTCGTCTGATCTGGTTTTGGGGGCATCACTACAACACATAGGTACCAATTCAGTTTGGTACCGCTAAAGCAAATTGAAGCCAACGGTTTGAAGACAGCGATATATAGGGTGTTACATATAAGTACCTATGTAAAAAAGTTGGGTGGTATAGGGTGGAATTCAAAAAAGTAGCGAAATTTGCATTTCTTCATAAATTTTTTCTCAGCAACCATAAGAGTTACAAAGATTGAGGGCACGTCTTTAATAGGTTCTGCAACAATTGTTTAAACATACAAAAACCCTGTATATCTTAACGTCAATTGTTTGCAACCTATATTTTTTTTATTTTAGCAATGAAAATTAATTAAAAAACTTATTTTTTTACTGTTCTTAAATAGTAGGCCATGAATTCATTGAGACTTTGCGTTTATTGTATCCATGGTAACTAAGGCAGCCGATACCAATCAATAAAAATGACTGACGGTAGAAACATGTCATTTCAAAATTTTAATTTTTGATATGATAAACTAGATACTTATATCCGCCCAATTTTTTTACATACTTCCATGTAACACCCTGTAGTGAGTAAAGTGAGAAAGTTGGTCTTCAATTTGCATTCATTGAAAAGGTCAGATGTCATCGGTCATTGTATACTGTATTCAAAATATCTAATACGTTCAAAAATCGCATCACCAAAACCAACCTTCTTTCCGCCCACCTTTATCCATCACATCGTTTCAAGCCGTGAAGAATCTATACCACGTCACCAGAATCCTAACTTCATGGTACACCACTATTGAGTCATAACCTTTGAATACATTATATTCAAAGGTCATAACGAAGAAGTTGATCAGAGATTGCGCCCCTTCCGCAGGATTTCCTAGAAATAAACGTTATGTTCCGTTAAACCGTCGACTTCTTTTTCCTTTGATTTGCTCGTACAATGATTTTCAAGGAGCGCCCGCAGATAATTTGTAAAGTTGATTAATAAAAAATGTACCAAAGTAATTAACTAAGATGAATTTTTAAGTGGAATCACCAATTAATCCCGAAATCTTAAGGTTTAATGCTTGTTTAGTTTGGATAGTGCAAAGGAATAAAAACTGACCTTCTGAAGAGTTTCTTCCTTGCCTTTCGCCATGGGAGCTACTGACGTCCACATCGGGCGTTGGTCGCTAAAGAGTGGGTTACCGGAACTAAGCCCTTTTTTAGCCTGCTCGATGCCAACTTTTCTCCTCACACTTGACAAGTACACCTAAAGCAAAGTATAGTATTAGTGATGCGGCCAATGATGCTTATGAACGTGACTGCACCTTTCCTTCGTTCAGCATTTCTAGCATTTTAACAATAAACAGAAAACGTGCAAATTGGAAAAATTTGACTTTGGACACCTTCCAACCATGACAACCAAGGAGGCCCTACCTACTATAACAGCCAGGAGGCCTACAGCTATACTCCAAATACTGCACGATACTATTGTTGGGAATGATCTGAAGTCTATTGTAAGAAATTTCATACACCTATGTGATGACCGAAGAAAGAATTGTCCCTGGTATTCCCCCACCTGTCGTAAAAGGCCACTAAAATGGCACCGAATGTCTCCCGGTGGCCGGTATACACTTGCATTAATTTTTAGTCAGAAAAATGAATTGTCTGAAATCGACCGGGAAAAACATTTTCTTATAGAATGTGGCCTGTAGAATCCATAATTTCAAACAGTTCCAAGATGGGCTACTAGTTCAAAAGTTACAGCCCTTTTCGAAATTGGTTTCTAGTGTATAACTTTTGATTGAGAAGTTTGATCGAAAAAGTACGAATTGTTTTGGATTCTACGCACCAAAATTAATAAGAAAAAGTGTTTTCCCGAGAAATTTTTGTGCAGTCGATTTTTGGGAAAAAACGAAGGTTTTTTTGGGTCAAAAAAAATTGTCTGAGACACACAAAACGCAAACAATAGCAAATTTTGTTAGTTCTTAAAAAATGCACTAAAAATAACTATGACGCCACCTTTTGTAGGGCACAAATCCCTACTGACTGAGTTACTATGCTATTCAAATAAAAATAGACCATTTTTAGAAATTTCCTACCTTACGTAGTCTTCCTGATTAGTGCCGAGATCCAAATAATGCGTAGGTAGCTGAAGAGTGGTCAGGGTACTCGGCAATTCATCAACCTCCCTCTCAATTCTTCAGAAGTAGGTGCACCTGAAACAAGATGACGTGCAAAACATTTTTTTTAGTGCTAAGGCGTTATTCTGAATGCAGATTTTATATGAGGTTGTCGACCAAATCTGTTTAAAGGGTTGCTTTTTGATTGACTGTTAATTAACGAGCAACAATTGTTTCCTTATTAACAATTTTCATTTGTTCTTTTAAGAAAGCGAGTAATCTTGGATACCTGCTTAAGTTTAAATTGAGCATCAATATGTAGCAGGTATTTAGTTCAGAGGTATGAAGACCTATGTAGTTATCTATCCCTAGGGCACGTTTTCTTTCGGATTTCGGATTCGTTGTGACTTAAAAAACTTCAAATTGGTACTCAGCCACCCAAAAAACAATCAAATATTTAAACACCCTTTAATGTTTCATTGCCCTCTTGTGATCGAATTGGTTTCCTCATATTACAAACTTACCCAAAATGTTTCTGCAAAACACAACACCACTCAAAACGAACCATTCGATTCGAAGATCAATACAAAAGTAGCTTTTTATCTGAGACGAAACCGTATCGTGATAACAGGTGACCCCGAGTAATGCAAAACTAGTTCGTTTATTACAATTTTATTATGAAAAGTTTGTGAGTAATCCTCACTCGCCGTGGCATATGTCACACTTTAGAATATTAGGACTATAAGAAAGTGTTTTCCCAAAAACTTTTGGAGTAGGTAGTCGATTTTTTGTGAAAATGCAAATAAATTAGCTCGAAAAAATGAATTGTTTGAAATCGATCGGGAAAAGACACGCCTACTCATATAGATTTTCGCCTGTACATTGTAGAATTTTTTTTCGAAATAGGCCCATAACTTTTATTGAAGGGGTCCAATCGAAAATATACGAAACGTTTTGGATTCTACGCTCCAAAATTTATTAGAAAAAAAGTGTTTCCCGGCCAATTTTAGAGTAGCCGATTTTAGGTGGAAATGCAAAGGTTATATAAATTAGGTCGTGCAAAAAGTAGTAATGCATTACCAGACTTTTTTAAATCAATGAAATTATACATGTTTGTGCTCCAAACAAACTAAATACCTATATACCTATTTGTTTAAGAATAGCAGTGTTTATAAAGTTAATTGCGTTATTATCACAGCTTTGCTTCTTCATTTGGGTTTTTACAAAAAATCTCGTTCTCTATACGCCCCCAATTAAAAAAATCTTGGCTAATTACGAGCTAAAAAAACATTCCAGATTGATCGCGTAGAAAACCCGCGGTTTAGATATCAATATTGCAATCCGCTGAATGTAGTTTTGAATGAGGTGCCGGCGCGGGGGGGGGGGGGGGGAATCTAGCGGTCACGTAATCTTCGCGGAATAAGACCTTGAAAAATTGTTCCGGCAGAAACAGCTGGCTTCCCGCCAAAAATATTCGCATTCATTGGTTGCGACATGTCCGAAACTCGTTTATTTTTCCTCGCGCGGTTAGACGTTCGCCGCTTTTTTTTGGGTAGTTTGGCTCGCCGCAAGAGTAAAAATGTGACCGCAAATAAAAGTAGAAAATTTCGTTATAGGTACCGTTAAATGCGCGACCTAATTGTTATTCCGTTAAGTCTTATAACAGCTGCAATTAATTTGTTTAGAGTCGCAATGAAATGAAAATGTAATTAAAGTCATGTGTTTAGAAGACAGTTAGTGGAAAATGAGAGGAGGTCATGGCGATACCTAGCTGTCTGAAAATGTACCCCCGCTCGGTTAGGGGCGTAATTTATTTTTCTAAGCAATGAAATATCATATTTCAGTTTGACCTTAATTCTTTTAGTAAAGACGTCGCAACAAAAATGTGACATAAATCAAAAATTCAATTTTTATACCGAACCTTACTTCCACAAATTACGTCACTTCCCTGTAGGTCATTATAAATCATCGAAAAGCAGTTCTTCACATGTAGGTATTTAATCCTTTTTTTCTGCTACCACAATAAAATCGACCACGAAATTCTATATCTTAATTGGAGTTTTTCAACACAAATATCCCAAACTATGCAAGTAGGTAGCAAAGGGGGATGTTGAAAATCGCCTTTATTTTAATTTTCCTGGAAATTCCTTCGGCAAAGAAATCTACTCGCATAACTTCAAACTTACTATTTGTACATGGAAAAAGGATATACCTAATCTCTATTGTATTATCTATGTGTAATTTATTAATGAAATTTTAACCAAAAACGAAAAGACTACAGTTCTCTCCTAATTTCTGAAACTCCATGCTAAATCGTGCACACTTCCCACTAAAGTTAGCTCTAATTTTGTATGTAATGTAATATCAAAAAACAAATGTTTAAACCTAAATCGTGATGTCGATCTGGATAGTTTTAACGTCGACCTCCTCTTAAATTATTCCGTAATGATTGAGTGGTGTGAATTTAAATGAAGTAGATATATCGATTCATTTGAATAATGGGTTATAAGTTTGCATCACTACTATGAGAATTTTATTTCACTGTAATGAGGACTAAAACCCAGGATGTTCAAGGATGAGCTGATCAGTTCAGTACATTACGGGAAACGAACGCAAATAAATTACTGAAAATTTGTACGTAAGCTACGAGTTGTTCAATGCTTCATATAGTTTTAGCCCAGGAAATGAAGGTTTTGTCCTGGCAATTTTTTTCAAAATGAATGAAATTTTGACCGTAGGCAGGGAATAGCCTAAGGATCAAAATCTATATCATGCCAAAAAGCGCTTTCTCCCTGGGGGTGGTTGCCACCCCACCTCAGGGGTTGTAATTTTTTAATGTAATTGTTATACAGACATAGAGAGAAGAATTAATTCTAAGCAAAAAGTGTTCTATACATTTTTTTAAAAGTTATTACTTCTCCAAGTATTCGCGACCGAAAGTATGAGTTTTTCATAGAAAAGATCAATGGTTTTAATTGGTTATTCGCGAAGAACTCGAAAAGTATGCATTTTGTAAAAAAAACCGTGGAGGAGGATAAAATCGTAGCTTTTATAATATTGATGTACAACCAATACGAACCGAGTTTTGGCTTGTTAAAATGTTAGCTCTTGTTCGTCAAACGCTAAATTAGAGAGTTTCACAGTCAAATAACGGCAAAATTATGCATTTTTCGTGAAAAATTTGTAGAATATTCTTTAAAGTATTTAAAAAACCTTGCTTCTTTTTTTTAAAAACAAACTTTAGCATAAAAGTTAAGTGAGTTATGGAGAAAATAAGGTAGATCCGTACATTTTTCAGCGAAACAATCAGCGCAAGTAACCCCCTATTACTACCCTCATTAAAATTAGTCCTTCTACTTTTCCAGTTTTCTCTAATTACGTATTATTAATACATTCTAGAAGTGCGACCAGTTTAGAAGACTTAATTTTCAAATAATTAAAGCTATAAAAGTGAAAAACGAATTTTTGCAATTTTGTGAATAACGTCCTTCTCTCCAAAATAACTACAAAACAACTGGAGATACTTAAAAAATGCTAGAACATCTAATTGTAGCTTTTTTAATTACAAACATTTTCCTCGCCGGGAATTTTGCGTACGACAAAAAGTAAGTTAGATATAGTCGTTTAAAACGTGTATTTATATGCGAGCACTACGTTGTTTTAACTCTTTAAGCTCACTCCATTTTAAAACTAAGAGTTTTAAAGGGATTTTATGTAAACAGCCTTGTAGCTCTTGTAAAAACCTACCAAATGCACTGTTTATCATGAAAAATAAAGAAGTTATGATTAAAAATAAACTGATCAGAATTTTATTCGGAAAATGACCGGTATATATTTCGTATACTACACATTAGAAACTTACATACACACTTACATCCATGCCATACACCCGCATACTATGTAATTCATATACAGGGCAATTCAAAAAGAATATTACCACTTTGAAATCTGAATTTTAATGAAAGAAACAAAATAGAACCATGGGTTATATCAAAATGAAGAGTAATAAAGTAAGTTTTTTTCCACTAGAAAATAGGTTCACTGGTGTTGAATATAACCCCACTCGAGAGATATCGATAGCGGCTGCCCGGAACTTTTACCTTTGCACAAATATACAAACACTCTTTCTCTATGAAATGTTTAATGTTTATATGAACGTTTGATACCCCATCCATCAGGAGGTCGAACACCATACTTTGTCCGAAATGCACACTGAGCAATTGTGTCAATAATAAATTATTCACTTTTTTTTTGTTAAACCGCAGTAAGGGTTAATTTTTAAGGGTGGAAATATTCAGAAAGAATGGTCCAAAGCCTCTAACAATCATTACTCAACTCATCTGAACCAAATTTTACTCACCTTAAGCTTTAGTATGTAGTTTAATGGGCTTGGCAAAAAGGGGTAGTTTTCACTCCTAAAAAATGAAGAGCGCCCATCGGCATAATATAGATTTTGAAGTGGAGGGTAAGTTTAACCTCTTTTGTTTATAATTATTAAATTTTTGTTAAATTGACTATTGACTTTATTGGTACCGCTGGAAAGCATTTTTCAGTAGCTTTCCAACTATGTGTCACAAGTATGGGGTTGCCATTTAGGATTTTTGAAGAGGAGGGGCTGGGGGTTAAGGGGGGTAGGGGGGTTGTCACTCATAACGTCATTCTGGTTCCCTCTTGATACCCCCGAAACGGTTTTGCGCGATTTTCAATATCTTTTTTAGTTTGGAAAATATGGCCGACTGCAAGTTTTAAAATTGACACCCTGTATATCAATGCAGTATAGTACAAACTTGCCATGTTTATGTTCTATCTGGGCTGTTGTTATGGCGCCTTTATGGCACGATAAATGTAAATGTGCTGTAATGAAAACCGCCCCATAATATAATGAAGGGAACAATTTCCGAAACAAGAACAACTGGTCTTCAATTTTTGTGGTTCATAGCACAAATTTATTTAAACAATTATCACATCCGATCAAACTACGGCCCCATAGATTTCTAAATTTATATGATAACGATTTTCACAGGTGCGGAAATTTTCCAATTCCAACACGACATTCGCCTGATGCTTTACGAAAATAGTTTATTTGGCTAGCCGTCAAACCTACAGTGGAATTATCAAAAGCATAGGTAGATTAAACAATTATCAAAGTCCTCGTGTGGGATCGAAGAGAGATCAGCGCATTTTTGTCTGGCAGATCAGTATTGTATTAGCCACCATCAAAAAGATCTTATCGCAAGCTAACACAATCCCTTTGTCGGTACCCCCTTCCGACGTCCCGTTCACCCACAATTCGCATTTAGATGAATTTTGCTAAAAACTATCCACAAAATAGTTCTCAATTTTTGGGGCACTTCTCATAGCTCTATTAGCCACACGAGAAAGAGAGATCGCGATTCGAGCTTTCAGAAACAAAATTCGCAGAGGAAGATACCTTTTGGGCGCCCTAAGTCAACTACCCCTCGCAGACGTGCGCCTTGTAAAATGAGGTTAATTTTGTACCCAGGAAAAAAACAAATTTTCGCCACGCAGTTGTTGTGTCCGTTTACAAGATCTTTCCAACGGCACCATTTTGAAAACAATCTGAAATGTGGTGGCCCCCGCCAAGATCTTACTGATGGTGGAGTAAAACTTCAAACGCAAATTAGGGATGCACGGGACGTCGGACGCGAGTACCGACGAAGGGAATGTGGTAGCTTCCACAAGATCTTTGACAATTTTTTACTAACGACATGCTGAAATAAAAAATTTTCACTGTAATACTACTAGTGCTTGCTATTTCCGGAAACTTTTCGAGCTCACACATATTTGAACTTTCGCAAAATATTCGTGAGCAAGAAAAAAATTCTATTCAAGCACTGTGGTATTCGGTAAGAAAATTTCACACCATAGTGACCCTCAACGAAAAAGTGACGTTTTATGTCAAAACATTATTACCTTTTTACGTCAAAAAATTGACGATAAATTCCTTGGTTGCCATGGAAATGTGACACGAAATCCGCATTTCATTGGTCGACAAAATTGCTGGTTTAAATTTTCGTTGAGATTTGTCACCTAAAGTATGTAAGACACAAGATTATCAATTTTTGTATGAACAGTTTTTTAACAGAGCTGCTAGATTCAAGAAGGTGCCGACAACAAACAATTCTTTATGTTTATCTATTATAGGTACATCGTCCAAATTGTACATAATTTTTATGTAATCGATATTATTAAATTGCTTTTTGATAAGTAGGTAACAATACACCTACATCAAATGTATGAAAAAAATGTATGAAACGGGTCTAAAAAATTAAAACGTTGTTACTCCTCAATATTACATTTATTGATGTACAATATTTTTTTAATTATCGGTCAATTATCGTTGGTACTAATAGACGAATAAATGGACGGCATTGAGATTCTTTTGTTACTGGTCTAATAGGGTCATAAACCATTGTATATAAGTATAATGGTCATTAGGTGTTAATATTTTCCAGGTAAAAGTGCTACCTGAGTTGCCTATCGTCATTGTATGGAAGGTATTGCATTTCTTCCGTCGCTATATTTTATATAAACTTTTGAGTAAAAATTACGGGTTATTTCATAATTTGAAGCAGTTCGTAATATATTTTTTTAATCCACTTAGTTACTAAATAAATTGTGCGGATTTACTTTTTAAATATTTTTTTTACTAAGGCCAATATTCGCGTTCTTAGTAAATTCAAGATTATCGTTTATACACGACTTAAATAATTTTATCAAAAAAATAAATCGCTACATTTAATGACTTTCTATATCTCTATCAATTTCCGATAAGACCTCTAGTTAGAATTAATATTTGGGCTTCAAAAATTACTCAAAAGTTTCGTCTTTTATTGCAAATTTCAGTGACCATTGTGTGTTGCCTATCCTCTATCCCTAGCCCCCTTAATATAATAGTGTAAACCACAGGAGTGTTCCCGTTAATTAAAAAAATAAAAGGGTCTTTGGGTGGAACGATTTTTCCCGATCCCGTACCTTTTTGCACATACTATTAGAGTAAGATCTGTTCTAATTGTAAAATTTAACGTAATTTCGATTTCCATTGCTTTAATACAATGAAATAGCGATTGACGCCTAATCATAAAATTATTTTCTGGTGGTCACCCCGACTAAAAGATATTTTATATATTCGCCATTTGATTTACTAGGGGTGTTTCGAGGTTTTTCCCTAATTTTTGTCTCTCCTACTTGATTGTGGAGCTTACAAAACTTGAAACTGAGGTTCGAATAGTAAAATTGACCTTATTTTCGTTGTTGGTATTTAATCGTCCTCTACTTAGGATTTGCTACAGTTGTAACCAATAAATGCCGATTCATCTATCGCTAAATCAACTTTTCATTTAGTGAATAGGTACATCAAAACCATCTTGTAACCGCCAACATTCCTTTGTAAGACATAAACTGTGTTAAACTTACCTACAGGAGTAAGGTGCAATGACACTTAAGACGTGGTTCGCGTTGCGGAAGTCGCACTACTAATACAATTGAATATACATTTCAAGTTTAACGTCCAATCTTATCAAATTTCGACAATTTAAAGTATCGCCAATACCCGAAGGTCGTCAACTTAATACGGCTACTTTTGTGAATGTATATTTGGATTACCAATATTTTAGCTGTCTGATATAATTTTTCCTGCACGACTAATCATTCTGAAATTAATTTCGTCATTTTGTAGGCATTAGTAGCAAAAAAGGGTTCGATTCGATAACAGGAAGGATTAAGTGGGCAAATAAGGCTATACCCCTTCCGGAAATCATTTTCTTGGCAGTTTGAGTGGAAAATATCTTAGATATTGAGAACAATGGTGAAAATACAGTTTAGCTTAGTTAGGTACTTAATATCTTTCATGCGATCGTGGATATAGAGAAAGCAAAACTGCATGAAATTCAAGTGGTCCATGCGCTCATCTTTCTAAATCAACTTGCTTTTCCTAATTCCAACAGAATTGTTGCCATCATATATTGATTTTTACTGCAAATGAAAATAGGAAATTGTGTTATTTTGTCCACAATAAATTGCTTGCGTAAGGACGGGTGAAATTCAAAATTTCATAACGGGTTTTCAGTAACAGCGTTTTTTTAATGCACCCTAGGCCACTATCCACTGTGTATAATGAATAAAAATTCATAGTAGGTAAGTACGAGTATATTCAATGAGAAAAACACAAATTCCAGAAAAATTTTAAGTTTTTATTGAAAAAACTGGGATACGTGCAGTGAAATAATTCCCATGCTCTTACTGCTTTCTTTCTTGTTTTTTCCTCAACATTAAAGAAATAATATTCCGTATATCGAACTGAATTACATTCATGCAAATAAGACAGAAAATTCGTTTTGAGCATTGATCAACAACGAGGAATTGCTATGATTTCAAATACAGAAAGAAATGCTCGATAACCGAGAAAACTTTGGAAACGGACTCATTTCTTAAAGCTGCTAGCATACACACCATTACAAATAATTAAAAAAAATTGATTATAAGTTTAGTTTTAGTTTAGTTTAGTTTTATTTATCCCCATACCGATTACAAAGTAATATTGGGTTGTCACAGCATCAGATAAGGTATAATTACACCAACACATCACATTACCTTTCCATAAATGTTGCAGTTATATCAAACTTCTGCCTTCAAATTCCGGTGCAACTCTGATAGTAATTGAAGTGAAGTACCACCTTACACTTACTAAAAACACGATTTTCATATACGTATAGTTCATCCAAGTGGTAGGGAAAGCACAATTGCCCGTCAAAAATTGCCACATACCCTTAGTCTATACAGGACATGCGTTTAGAAGGGCCTCAATTACAATGCGAACAAAGGAGTTGACGTCTTAGCATTAAAAAGGCACGGAGGATGGACATTCTCCAATGTCGCGGAAAGCAGAAGAATCTATTGAAAATAAGGTGAAATTTGCGCGAAAAGTTTTGCACATTGGAAATGCTATCGTGGTTGCCAGGACATCACAAATTTCAGGTCCTAGTAAAAGTTCAGTTTCCAGTAGTTTTAAAGATAGTATTTCAAGGGTCAATTCTCCCCAAAAATTGCATAATGAAGTGACCAAAAATTCAATTACACTTTAATTGAAAAAAAAACCAAATTGTTCTAAAACATTCAACATGAAATAGCTAAAATGTTTGCCCTCTATTACTCGTACTTAACTGCATAATATTCTATTCACGTAAGGATTGGAGATCTAACAGGTCTAGGGCGGTAAGTATGACTTACAACCCTCCTTCTTACCTTGTAAGATAACAATTTTTGATCTTTCATAACGAATTTGAGAAAACTCCTTCAAAACTTGCAGTTATTCTTACTGCAATTATAGCGACTATTATGTCAAATACATTTTAAAAAATTAAAAATAATAAATGTTTTAGCCACCCCCATCTCAATTATCACACATGCGCCATCTAGATGTCGAAATATCGAACGGCAGCGCGGCGGTCTTTGTTATCTCAAATTAAAATTCTCTATATATTTAGCAGATTGGCATAGAAAACGTAAGGTGTATTTATTGCCCGAGGGGCTCATTTAAATGAACTTTTGGAGAACAATAATTTCGGAGGCAGTTTTGCGTAGGCACATAGGAGGGGTCCGGGGTCGGTTTCATATGCATATCTCCCCCTTTTTTCTAGATTTAGGTCATCTGATACGGGCGGCCCTGCCGATGCGTTGTAAAACAATGAAAGGAATAAATTTGCAATTCTTTCTAATTATTTAAACTTATACGACGCATTACCTTCACTTTACCGTTCGCTTACAGTTACACGTTTGGTTCATACGGAACGAAGAAGTTGTGAGATTTCTAGAAAGTTCACCGTCTTGTTTGTATACAATAACGTCATTAAGTATTCAACTGTGGAAGAATGGCGCTACCTACGTTTTCGAAATTATTCCTATAATTGACTTGGATCGTCGGAAGCACGTCTCTGCGTAAAGGGGATGATTTAGGGCACAAAGATGGGGGAAAAAGTAAATTGTTAATTATCGGCAGAACAGAGGTCACACTTTATGTATAAATTGCGGTCAAACAGCCAAAGGTAACTAGCTTATGTAACTCAGAGTGTCAGTGTGTCACGGCAGTACAACGAGTTGCTTAGCAACAGGCGCGTTTAGCCCAGCCTATTTTGGGCATTATTGATCCGACCCCTTTTTTACCTTCACGGGGTTGTAATGGCTGTAGTAATATCCAACGTAACCTTGACAGAGTGTGACGAAGGTGTTTTTCTAGACTGATCTGTAAACAACTTATTTCGCACGGAACGCCCCTAATTCCAATTTGTAAAGAGGATCCCCTCAAGCAAGTTTTTTGCGACATAATTTTAATACAGACAGTCGAAAGCGGGGGGAAATGGTAAGATTGTGTTCAGAATTCCAGTCAGTGGTTGATTTACATCACCCCCAAATGCCAAACCCACGAAGTTACGGACTGGATTCATTTTGCATGTTATACACCCCAATTTCATAGAGTTAAAATTGTTGTCTTTCATCTCCAGTTTCGAGTGGAGTATTAGGGGCTTCTGAAGTTGAAGGGTCAAACCGTTCAAGCTCAAAAACCAAGGTTATATAAAGTCGTTAGTTTCATCCCCTTGTTATACCTACGTTTCTGTTAGAACAAATGAATCATTTTGAACCTGTGGTTAATTAAAATACTCATTTTCTTCCCCTTTTCCGTAAACCATAGCTTGAGGTTAAAACGGATTGTTTTTTGGATAGAGAAAAAAATAGTTTACTGGTGGTTATGCAAATAAACTCTAAATACTTCCTTCACTGTCCCAATGTCTTTGGGAATGTATGTGAAATGCCTCCTCCTCGTTTAGTTTAATCTTATACGATTCAAACAGCTTGTGTCCACATTTTAAGCCATGGGCGTGAGGAGGACTTGCAGGGGCTGAGTATTCTTGGCATAATGTGGTCTTTTAAACGAAACGAAATCTACTAAAGGAGGAAAAGCTTGAAAATCTACGGCGAAAAATGATTAAAAACAGACTGGATTTGTTGCAGTAAGTGAAACAAGATGGGAGAGGCAGGGACAGAAAAATTGTGCTGGTGTAGTTCTTTATAGGGGTAAAAACGAGGAAAAAAGGAGTAGGGTTTTTAAAAGCAAGGAACTTTCCAGGTGATTTCTGACTGTGAGAGAGTGATGGCTCTAAAGGTTAACGCTGTGCCAAATGGTACGTTACTGATTCAAGGGTACATGCCAACCACTGACTATGAGGGTGGGTATACGCAAGGATAGAAAATATAATCGAGGAAGAAGGAGATGGTTGTTGTAAAATCGTAATGGGCCCCTGGAAGAATTGAAGGTATGGAAATGAGGATGTGGAGAAATATGCTTGAAATAACGTCATCTGACAGGATTAGGAACGAATAGGAGAAGGAAGATCTTCGTATACTTAACACAATTTTGAGAAGGAAAATAATATGGCTTGATCATGTGCTAAGAGAGAATAATTAGTTTGCTGAAGGACGTGATCAAAGGAGTCGTGCAGGGTTCAAGCAAGAGAGAAAGAAGACGAGTGAAGATGGTGCACGATGTGAAAGAGGAGAGAGGATACGCGGATATGAAAAGAAAGGCAATGGGATAGAGAAGAATGAAGATGATAAAATAAAACCTGCGTATATCGAAAAACAAAAAGTAAAAAAAAGACCGTTGTATCAGTCGAAATTCTGATTGATTAGACATAATCAAATATTGAAATGGATATACATGGTGTTACTTTAAGCGATGGAAATTTGGTTAAATGAGAGCAAAGTTGCGAATTTTCGTGCTGAATAATAATCTGAAAAAAAATTTTAAATATCTTAAATAGTTTTGAATATATCGCAAAAAACGAATATTTCTGATTTTCCTTTTTAATTTTTTCATGGCTCTTTGCAACGATATTTCACACATGGTGGCTTAGTATCACATTTTTCTTAAAATTACAATTAGTTTACTATGAAAAAATCAGAAATTTTCGTTTTTTTGCAATATTTTCAAAACTACTAAAGATATTTTAAATTTCCTTTCAGATTATTATTCAGCACGAAAATTCGCAACTTTCTCCCCATTTAACCAATTCCCTATCTCTTAAGGTAAGCGAGATCCCCATAGTGCCATTGGAAGAATGGACACCGTGTATTGGTTTTAAGCTACTAGTAATAACCTATAAACCAGGTAAGTATATAGCAGAGTATCAATAACATAGTAATAATTTGCAATAAAATGATGTTTACTATATGAAAAAGCATTGGAATTTGGACCCTTAATTTACGGACAACCCTCGTATATATTCTTGAAAAAAGGAGAGTGGGGACATTGTTCCCACGCGTTCCCGCCCCACTACACCACGACAATAAAAAATAACCCGTAAGTTTTTCTTCAAGAGCTTAAAGTTCAGGCTGTTTTTTAGATAGATCACCGCATGCACGACTACTTTTTGATTTTTTCGAATTTTACGAAGATTAATTTAAGAACACCCAGATACAAAGTTTCGCGTAAATCATGATTTTTGTAAAAACATATCTAGAACTGTAAAAATTATTTAATATACTTAATGGGAACTAGCAAGAAAGGTAGAGTTTTTAAAAATGAGGCGCAGTATGAATTTCTTGAGACTGTAATTATGTCAAGTAAATAAACGGAGAATACTACAACTGTAGAACTATGGTGGGTGCAAATTAAAATTTTAGAATTTTGGAAATTGGTTGCAGTTCGAAATTGGCATGCTTTAAAATTTTCTCTCTTGGTGGAAAATAATAATTCTAAAATGTACCTATCAAAAACTACCTATTGAACTAGTCCAGTTGCCGAAAATTAAACTTTTCGCATATTTAAGCTTCTATTTGATCGCAGGTTTGCAGATTACCTAATCTTGAAAAAGCGGAGGCTTCCACGGCCAGGGTCATTAATATGGGAGCGAGTTCCGGGATAGGACCGTGTCAATGTTGAACGAAAAGTGGGCGAAACGTCGACTTATCGCTCAACATTGGCACGGTCCTATCGCTTACCTAATCTTGCTTTTCAACATCCACCTCAAAATATAGAAGTAGGTATTCTGTGTGCAATTAGAACTATATAGTAACAGAAATTAAGTGATTTTTGAACTGTGACTAGGTACTTTTTCCAAAACTATAGAATTTTTATGTGTGCAAGTAGAACTATTATAAAAATTTCCACGGACCACGATATTTTTCCCATTTAGTTGAGTTATTTTACATTGGGCACCAAGATAAGAAATGCGAATACCATAGACCAAGTAGGTATTTGGTCTATGGCGAATACATTTGTTAAAATTTAGGGTTATTGAATGTGTATAGGTTTCAATTTTATACGACTTTCCGTTATATTGGTAGTCTCTTCGTTATTTTAAATGGGATGCGCCAGTTTTCATTTACATATTTTATTAATCTATGCAAAATTTGGGTTACATATTGCACAAGGTACCGTAGGACTAAAGTGGAACGTTTTTTAGACGGAAAATAATAGTTATTTATGCAACCAGTTGAGAAAAGCACTATTTTTCGTAACGAGCGGAGTTCTGCGGAAACGCGACAAAGGGTTTCGCAAAAAAACGCGAGTTACGAACGGTAACCACCCTAACATGGCCATCTTCACCAGAGTCCAGAGTGAAGAGCAATCACGCGTCCTAAAGACCACTGTGAAGGTGGTTTGCAATCATCTTTAATAAGAACTAAAGATTTGAGCTCAATCGGGTTACACGGTTAGGCTGCTGTAAAGTATTCAAATATTCTACATGCCACCACTCCAAAATTCAGCATGTAGCCGTTGTAGAAATTGCCAGCGATTGGAGATGTTTAATTTTAATTGAGATATGTCAGAGTTAAAAAATTAGCAGATGTTAATGATGAAACGTCATTAGGATCGGTAGGTACTGTAATCGTATCAAAGGTTACGTACTGAGAGTAGGTATGGGACCGACAAGAAATCCAAATTCCAATTTTTTAGGGACAAATTATCCAAATAATTTGAATCGTTTTCGTCAAGATATCCAATTTTTATCGACAAATTATCCAGATCCAAATAAAGCGACAAAATATCCAACCAATTTGGAAACTCCGATTTGAATATCTTATCGGTGGCGCGACAAGATATCCAAATATCGATTTTTTTTAAACAAGAAATCCAAATTTTTTGGACAAAATATCCAAAAATGTCGGAAATTTTTTGACAAAATATCTAAACTTTTTTAGACAAACAGAGGCATTCCTTTCCTTTATTATACCATACTGATACCTTCGCCTTAATATCATATTACCACTTTTTGAATTGTTTTTAAAGAGAATCCGTTAGCGGTTAGTACACAGTTTATACAATGTATCTGATAATCTGTAGCTACTTACCGAAATATGAAATTATTAAACTACGCTATTAAACGCTGTATAAAAACATACTGAATGCTAATTGCTATGCCGTGTTTTAACACTGACTGAAACTAAAATGCTGATACGGAATTTTTCGTACCACACAAGGTTCATGCCTGATTAAAATTATAATCAATAAGTACTTTTTAAGCTCAGCACTTTGACAAGCACAAAGCTCTCACGCTGAAAACAACTGCTGTTAAAAACGTATAGGTAGGTAATGATCAAAGAAAAAGCGGCGAAAAATTGGATATCTTGTTGAAAACTTTCCAGACTTTTTTGACTTCTTGTCTAAAAAAGTTTGGATATCTTGTCAAAAAATTTCCGAACTTTTTGGATATTTTGTCCAAAAAATTTGGATTTCTTGTCTAAAAAAATTCGATATTTGGATATCTTGCCGCGCCACCGACAAGTCATCCAAATCGGAGTTTCCAAATTGGTTGCATATTCTGTCGCTTTATTTGGATTTGGATAATTTATCGATAAAAATTGGATATCTTGACGAAAACAATCCAAATTATGTGGACTATTCAATTCATCTAACATTTGTCACATTTCAACCAGTGAAATGTCTGGATTTCAAATTGCTGCGCCAATGGGAACGAATTATAGTGATAATTGCACGTGTGGTATTTCAGCGATAA